TTAATCACGATTGTTGCCCAACCTTTACTGACTGACGGTTCATATTTTACATGACTAAAGAATGATTTTTGGACCCTTTAAGTAGAATGGCATAATTTCCCCCATCATGTTTTTTGATCATCGCTGTTTTTACTTTGCACCAAATATCAAGTGAGTGTTTGTGTTGTTAAGGTTCAGAAGTGGAGCAGCGACATCCTGAGCAAACAGAGCAAGCCCAACCTCATCAAGGGCTCCTCCAAGTTGTTCTTTGTTAGCCGTCTGCGCGGGAAGAAGTTCAAAGCCGGCGGAGGTTCCAGTAAGGTCCTCCAGGACGCCAGTAACACTCTGGACAGCGGCAACGTGCCCCCACACGGGGCACAGAAGGTAGAACGACTCACCAGACAACACTCAACCTTGACACTCGTGTCTGACGGCCCGCTGTGTTTTCGCATAGCGATCCAGTCCTGACATGCTCGGGGACGAGGGCTTCTTTGACCTCCTCACTCGCTTCCAGAGCAACCGCATGGACGATCAGCGCTGCTCCGTTCGTGAGAAAGGCAGCAGCCTTTTGTCGCTAAACGGCGGCTCCCACTCTCCGCCCAGGATCATCAGGAAATGTGAGTATGGAGCCCTGAAGGAAAAAAAAAAAAAAGCAAAGCAAACATTCTGAAATCTTTTTTGCGAGTGTCTGAATTCACACACAATCAAAAAAAACACACAAAAAACATGAAGAGCTGGTTTTAGTCATTCATAGAGCGCTTTACTATGACTACAGTGTTCTCCATTTTGCCTCACTCATTTCAAGATGACAATTTATGAAAAATCCAAATCCATTCATGAATTCATCCTCTCCTTCCTGGCAGCCGTTTCTGATTCCGCCAATGTGTCCGGTGCTCAAGGCCGGCGGGTCGAGGACTCCTCGGTCGCCGGCGGGAGCCTGCCGGGTCTCAGGCTCAATCAGAACACCAACCAGGCCGTGCTCAACCACCTGATGGCCAATGCAGACAACGCCGAGCCCGACGAAGACTTCTTCAACATGCTGGTCAAGTGCCAGGTGGGCTGAGTGGTGTGGCGGGGAAATTTGCCCTGGAAAAAAAATCGTTCCATCTGTCTTCAGCGTCTCCTAATAGCAAAGGAATTTGGTGACCGCTCCGCGGAAAGACGTGCTTACTGCAACCTGGGCAACGCTTACATCTTCCTCGGAGAGTTCGAAGTGGCCGCCGAGCATTATAAGTAAGTCGACTTGCTCAGGTGGTTGCGTTGACAAAGTAGTCCAGCGCACTTAATATTAGTCAGGTCACTTGTATGTCAAGGCACGATTTGAAATGTCCGCGGTGTTTCAGGAGGACGCTGCAGCTGGCGAGACAGCTGAAGGATCGGGCGGTGGAGGCTCAGGCATGCTACAGTTTGGGCAACACGTACACTCTGCTGCAGGACTACGAGAGAGCCATCGACTACCACCTCAAACACCTCATCATAGCCCAGGACCTCAATGACCGGTACGCCCGCTCGCACGACCACACCGGAGCCATCAGGGTCATCGCTTACTTTAACCAGAGTGCCGTGCGCGTGCAGGATTGGCGAAGGTCGAGCGTGCTGGAGTCTGGGAAACGCCCACACTGCACTTGGTAGCCACGACCAGGCTATGCACTTTGCTGAGAAACACCTGGAGTGGTCGAAACTCATCGTGTTGGACTTAGGCACACGCATTGAAAGATTTTTATGCACTCATCTTGCAACCTATCCAGATTCTGCTGTGAGAGCCGACTACTCTACTACTAAATGATGCCATCTACCATAACAAATAAGGGCGTACGTGTACACTCTGCTCAGTCAGTTCCACAGTCTGGGTCCATTGTTCTCTGTAAATGGAAGGAAGCAGTGAAACAACATCCTCTACTGAAGGATTCCGCTGCCCCGCAAAGCTTTTGGCCACTCGGTTCTGGTGATCTTGCCCGAATGACTGCGCATCTCTTGAGAGCCTTTTCCCAATTCCAAAAGTAAATTTTTTTTTTACCTCGTGACCACTGTAGGATGGAGGTGTCCTGCCTTGAGCTGGCGCTGGAGGGCGAGCGCCTCTGCAAGTTGGGCGACTACAGAGCCGGCGTATCCTTCTTCGAAGCCGCCATCCAGGTGGGCACGGAGGACCTGCAGGTGCTCAGCGCCATCTACAGCCAGCTGGGCAACGCCTACTTCCACCTGCACGACTACGCCAAGGCGCTGGAGTTCCACCGGCACGACCTCACCTTGACCAGGTCGGGGGTTGGCGTCACCGCAGGCACGCCAGAGCGATCCCGTCACGCCGGGTCTCACTTTTGAAACGCGTTTCTGTCGCGCAGGACCATCGGGGATCTGCTCGGCGAGGCCAAAGCCAGCGGGAATCTTGGCAATACACTGAAGGTGCTGGGGAGGTTCGATGAGGCCATGGTGTGCTGTCAGAGGCACTTGGAGATAGCGAGGGACATCAGCGACAAGGTAACCTTTTAAATAAAAAGATGCAGTAACTGCTGTTCCCTGAAAGGGGGAAAGTTTTGGAGGTGAGAGTTTGTGGTATGTTCATGGTTTAAAAAGTTAATGTGTAGGCAAATATAAACACGGGGCCTGGGGGTTCGAATTGTGTGTGCTGTTCCTTACTCCTGCCCTACTGCAAAGCTTCTTCCTGTTTACATCCGCAGCTGACCAATAAGAGCGGGAGAGCTTTTTAGTTTAGTTGTTTAAAAGACAGTGAGATTCATTTATGTGAAGTCACTCATTAGTGATAAATATAAATATGCACAACTTTATTTCTATACATCTCTGCCATTGGTCACGTTAACAATTGATCACATCTAGACCATTCCTAGAAAATCACAATATCCCATCACTGGGTAAGCTATTTTTAACATCAGGTTGTTCGTTGCCTCTCATGTGGTACTTGGGGGCTACCTGGTGCCCGCTGTCACCACGTTGGTGACCCCCTTAGTGCTGCATACAGACTTAAACAATTATCATTTAATACCAAATATAAAAAGTTTTCATGTGTGGGTTCCAGGTGGGTCAGGCGCGAGCTCTCTACAACTTTGGCAACGTGTATCATGCGAAAGGAAAAAGTATTTGCTGGAGTGGAGCAGAGCCTGGAGATTTCCCAGAAGACGTTATGGCGGCGCTGAGGAAGGCCTCGGAATATTACGAGTATGTCACAGTGTACTTACTGTGTGTGTGTGTGTTAATATCACCTGTATGATCCAGTTTATCAGTCATCCCCGCGTGCACTTTCAGGGCAAACCTGGTGCTCGTGCAGGAGCTTGGTGACCGGGCCGCCCAGGGTCGAACGTACGGCAACCTGGGTAACACTCACTACCTGCTGGGGAACTTTCGCAACGCCGTGGCGTCTCATGAGCAGGTGAGGGCTGAGGCCACAAAAAAAAAAAAAAAAAAAAAGTTGATT